AGGACCAGGCAGGGGAAGACAAGATCCCCAGCTCCAGGCCAGCCCTTGGGGGATGGAAAAGCTCTGGGGAGGCCGTAGGGCATCGAGGTCAGAGGGAGAGGCCTGGTTTGCAAGTTCCCCTCTGGACCTCAAACGAGGGGCCTCTTTGAACCCCTTTCTGTGTAAGACCCCAGCAACCTTCTTCCACCAGCCTGTACCGCCCTGTGAGGTCAGACTTCTGCCGCCTGACCCAAACCTCAGCCTCTCATGTGCTCCACTCGGCCCAGACTGCACTGCTGAAAGCCTCGTGCAGTGGGGTTTTCAGACATGTCTGGGCTGCTCCCACTCGTCCTCAAGGCTAGCGCCTCTGAGAAGCCTGCGTGACTGCCTCTTCTCTGTGCTGCAGGCTGTCTCATGGCCACCTGCAGGTCTGAGGGCAGGGACTTGGTCGCTCTGCTCCCTTGCACATGGTAGGTCCTCAAGAAATAGCCAAATGGAAGAACAAGTGACGGATTAAGTGGACAGGTTTCCAAGGGAGTGGGTATTTTCTCCCAGAGAAGGGTTGTGTTTACTCACAGAGGCCACCTCCCTCTCAGAGGGTGCAAGGAGAGAGACCGCCCCAGAGACCCTGCAGGCCCGGAGGCTGGCTCCGTGGCAGCCTGCAGTTTGCCCAGGGTGCTCACACCTGCTTCCTGAGACTGCTGTCCAGCCCCTGGGCCTCCCTGTCCTCGAGAGAGAGGTCTTGCTTGGCTTTGACATCTGTGGCCTCTGACACTGGGGCGGTGCTTACAATCTGGCCAATGACCCCATGCATCCCTCCCAGCAGCCCAAGGCTCAGGTACACGGCCCCACCTTGAGGCCAGGCCTGAGTAATCAGAACCCGAGGAGGACCGGCCAATTCCCTTCCTGGTGCTCTCCTCACAATTTGGTGGTTAATGCCTTAATAATAATCATTCTAAAAAGCCATAAAAAGGTACCGCTAATAACAGTTGAACATACACTATGAGCCAGGGGCTGGGCAGAGCTTTGTATATGGGTATCCAGCGGCACAATCCCCTTTGAGGGAGGGGCTCCTCCTGTTCTGGTTTGACAGATGAGAAGACAGCGGTTCAGCGAGGCTAAGTAACAGGCCCACAGTCACAGTAGTACCACGGTGAACGGAGGGGTCCTGTGTTAGGCTTGAACAGTCAGCGCCCAGGGCCTGGGCTTTAAAAGTGTGTGCACCATGGCTCTCCACACTGCCTCAAAGTCCCCACCTCCACCTGCCCCCAGGCTCCGGACGGGAAAACCAAGCACCACAGAAGGAAAATGGTTTGACTGAGCTCACACAGACACTCCGAGACCAAGCAGTCTCCCCAATGAGAGGGCAGCGAGGATAGAGAAGGGGGCCCCCCTCTCTCGCCTCTGGGCAGCCAGCGCCCCGCCCTGCTGCCCCTCCATTAGAGCAATCACTGGCTGCTCTCCAAGGACGGCCGAAGCCAAGATCAATACCTAAATGTGGCTTTTCCATCAGTAAACCAATTAAGTCCAATTCTGTTTCCATAGGCTCAACTCCGCAGCTGAAGACAAGCTACAGGCTGGAGCAGGGGGGTGGGGCCAGGCTGTGGGGGTGCCCTCCGCATGCCCCCTCCCTCCTGGCTTCCTTCCATACCCTCTAGGGTGGGGGATGCCAATTCTTGGACAAAGCAGGGGAACTCCCACTCCTGGCTCCGGGGTGGCCAAGGGCTGACCCTCTCTCCCTACTCATCTTTCATTATCCCCACCTGCCTATACCCAGTGCAGGACCCAAATACAAGACAATCAACACTGAGATTCTCAGAGGTGGGGGGGGGAGTGGACAGAGGGGCTGGGGGTCCTCTGAAACAGACTACTCCTCTGGGGGTAGGATCCATGCGGAACTGAGATGGTTTTTCCACTTGAGGCGGCACTCCAAGGAGCCGAGTTCCACGACTGGATTGCAGGCCAGGAGAGCTGGCCACACAGTCCCACGCCATGCCTGCTCCCAGACCTCCCGGCTGCCTACTCCAGAAACGTGTTGTTTTTCTAAAGCTTCTCATCATTCTGTGAACAGTACAATTAGGCTGCGCTGCCAAGTTCAGTGTTAAGAGCATTAATCTGTTGACTGTAAACATATACATTATCCTATCATTTTCATGACCCTCTTGAAATGTCTTGGTATTCTCCTCCACAGAGAACCCGGGCCAGCCCTTGCGCTGTTCTGTAGATGGGGAAACCGAGGCCCAGAGAAGGCAGGTCCCTTGATCAGAATCACTCATCAGGTGGTGGCACCTTAGATTAGAACCAGAGCGCTGAGGACCACGCTTGGACTCTTCTTCCCTCCAGCCAATTGCTGGCCGCAGCCAGGGAGTTCCTCTTAAACGATAAATGAGATCGTGTTACCTTCTGGCTTCAAACTCTCCAACAGCTTCCCAGAAAACTTATAATAACGTATTCAACCTCCTCACCTCAGGCAATAAGGCCCTCCCTCATCCCAGGACAGCCTCCTCTCAGCCATGAAACTCCAGCCACACCACCTCCTTTCTGGCCACAGCCACACCAAGCTCCAGGCTGCCGCAGGGCCTTTGCACGTGTTCTGCCCTCTGCCCTCTGTTCTTCCCAGAGCAGCCTCTTTTCATCAGACAGGCCCAGCACTACCTCATCCCCTGGCCCCACCGTCCCAGAGTGTCCTTCCTGGGCTGCCATGTCTGAAAGCCTCCATCCACTGCTCCATCACTACCCCACAGCCCTTCTCATAGCAGCCATGCTGCCTGAAGCACCCAGCTTATTCCATGTCCTTCTCTGAGTACTATCCGGCCTCCTGGTCACTGCCGAATTCCCAAGATGCCACGGCTAAGCTGGGGTTTGAATTCACAATCACTATCCCGGAACACGTCCCTTTCCAGTAATGGATTCCTGGGTCCAGCTCGGCAGAGTTCCAAAAGGATGAGGGTGGAAGAAAAGCTGGCTGTCCCCAGCCTCCTGCAGCCTCCTGCCTGGGGCCCGGGGAGGCATTCTCTCAGCTTTCTCCTCCTTTACCAGGAAGAGGTCTCTTGGCATTGGGGGTGAGGGGTGGCCCTGCCCACAGTTCAGCTAGCGTGAGACCCCTGGGACCAGGCCTGGAAGGTTGGGGGTGAGGTGGTAAGTGGGATCCCACAGGCGACAGGGCTCTGTCTGACCCGCAGAGTGAACACAGCAGGCCTGTGGGCACCAGGATTCTGGCAGGAGGCCCCAGAGCCAGGGAGAGAAGAGGCCTCAAGTCTGGGGGCATGGAGGACACCCCACTCCTCTACGGGGCAACAAGAGGGTTCTTGAGCCCAGGAAGTTGGAGAAGCGAGCGTGTGAGGGGCGGGATCAGGGAAGGAAGCTGGGATGACCCCCTCAGAGACCCCCTCACATGCACCTGAAGTTCAGGGGTGTCTGAGTGAGCCCTTCCATGCGTCCTCACCAGACCAGGAGGACAATGCTGACGCTCACACCCTGCGTGTGTGTCAGAGTGGGTCTGCGTCTGGGGCTTCATGGCTGGGACCTTCGGATCTGTTTGATCACCAGGCCTTTCTGCCACAGCACCTCAGAGGGGGTTCCACTCTCCAGCTTTCTGGATAGAAGCCCATCTCTGAACTGTTGGCGCCAGTCCTAAAATGCTACTGCTCACTGTGTGCCCAGGCGAGCGGGTGGGGTTTACAGTGGGCAGGATCGTGGACCCCGTTTTGAGGGGTGAGATTCAAGGCAGCTGTCTTTTTTTTTTTTTTTAAAGGGGATTTGGGAGTGATCAAATTTTTACTTTTCACTTCATGTCTCCTTATGGTTTCTTTGCACTGCGTGTTCCATACACACTTAAAACACACACACAAAACAGACGAGGCTAAAAATACACACGAAAATGATTTCCCGGGTCTGGGAGGCTCCTGCCAGCAGAGGTCGGGCTGGGAGGGGAAGGGGACCCACAGCTTCCTAGCAGCGGTAGACAGAGACCCAGGGCCACAGCCCTGCTGGGAACTGCCAGAAGTCACCAGGAGCCAGCACGAGAGGCTGTGCCCAATATTCAGCTTCCAACCCCTGTGGAGGCACCTTGAGTGGCAAACAAAGGAGCCTTCTAAAAGCAGCCCTGAGCCTCCTCTCCCACTGGGAACATGGAGGCTGGCAGCCAGCACACTTCTAGGAGGGGGTTCCCCTGACAACCTTAGCCCCTGGTGCCTCCACCCCCACCCCCCTGAGGCTGGCCACCTTCATCACAGGAAGTCTGATACCCAACACACAGCTGGACAGAGAGGGGCCCCAGGGGGCTGCTGCCCGCACAGCCAGCCTGGCTGTACTGCCCAGGAATGCTGAGTCACCGTCCAGAGGGACTGTGCCCCTCCCCATACTCCTCTGTCTCTGTCTATGAAGGGGTGCTGAAGGAAGTGTGTGTGTGTTCAAGAGTGTGGTGAACTGGCCCCAGATCCCCAGCATGGGGGAGGACCCCATTTCTGACCCTCCTTCTTCTGGCAGGTGACCTTGACCTGTCACTCCAAGTCATGGCACTAGCCTTGACCGTAGGGTACCTCAGCGGGCCTCGGGACACCTCCCTGGCTCTAGAGACATAAAATACAGAGTGCTCCCACAGCAGTGAAGCAGCCACGCATCTGGCAGTCCTATTTGGAGCTTCACAGCGCCGACCCGGGCTCCCTACCCTGGTTCCTGAGCTTCCACCTGCTCCCACCTGCTCCCCAAACAGCCCTGCCTGCGGGGGAGAGTAGTAACCCAGAAAGATGCCGAGTCTCCAGCAAGATAGAGCCCGGGAGATGAACCGTCCAACACAGGGCATGCTGGGAGGCCTGTGGGGAGCAGTGTGAACATGCTGTAGCTGCCAGAGCACAGCCTCTGTGAACCCCACACCTGCTGGGCCCTGGCCTAGACACAATGACAGCCCGTGACAGGCAGGACCCAGCATGAAGGCTGTCAATTCCTGGATATGGTGCCAACGTCCCCCCACCCTCCCAGGCTGCACACCTGCACATCATCAACACTGTTCCTTCCACCGCTGGTCCCCACGGGCACCCACCCATACAGTCAGGGTGCAGACCGGTCCTCTGCAGCACACAGAGGTTCTCACCAGCGCGACCACCCTAAACCCAAAGCAAACCAGCAGCCAGGGGCCAACTTGAACACAGCGAGACCCCAGCCTCCTGCGGAACAGAACCGTGGGCTCAGTGGTCAGGAGCAGACCGCCGGGCCTCAAACCCCTCCAGGGACGCAAGGCCCTATCTGCGGGTGTTAACTGTGGGAGCTCCAGGGCTCTGCAGGGCCCCCAACCACACGCTTATGGCACGCAGCCAGCCTCCAGAGCAGGCTTCCCCACGCGGGCAGCTTGTTCCAGTGCACTCTGCTGCCCTAGGTCCGGAGAGAAGCTCAAGGAGTGGTCTTTCAAACCCTCTCCCCCCAGGCTGCTGGTCACTTCCAACACCGCAACAGAAGCACACCCCTCCCTCTGACTTTTCTGCCTACTGGGATTACCTGGGATCTTTGCACAGCTCAGACTGCTACCATCTTTGGGAACAGAGTGCCGGCTTACTCGCTTCTTTAAGCACCTCTATGATTCCAGGGGGCCGAGTTTGGGACTGCTGCTTAAGGGACGTTTAGGGGCCAGACAACGGCTGTCACAGTCGGAGCAGCGTGCACTGGGATTCACGGAACACGGACGGAGCGCTGGGTGTGCGCCGGGATGCCTGGGCGGCACTAACAGTTGGCAGCGCTGCTGGGAAGCACAGGGCTGACAGTTCAGCCCCGCGTGAGACCCTGCATAAGAAAAGACTCGGCGAGCTGCTCCCGTGAAGATTGAAGAACAAAACAAAAAGCTACTGGCATCAAGTCGATTCTGACTCCTAACGAGCCTGCTGGACAGAGTAGAACTAACGACCCCCGTGGGTTCCCGAGACGGTAAACTTTTGCAGGAGTAAAAGCCTCCTCTTTCTGCTGACGACCCCTGGTGGTCTCAAATGGCATGACCCACTACAGCCACGGAAGCCCCACGAAGCAGTTTTGCTGTGCGAGGCACGGGCCGCCATCCCTCAGGGTCCAGTCACAGCACAGACGGCAACCACGGAGTCTCCCAGAAGGACGTGTTGGAGTCCCCAGGGCCCGTGGACCCAGCGGCACCGTGGACGGAAGGCCGGGCGTCTGCTCCCATAAAGATTGTGAACCAGGACACCCCTCGGACCGCTTCCACCCCGGAACACACGAGCTTGCCAGGGGGCTGGATCCACTCTACTACAAGGAGTCTGGCTTTTCTGGTCTAAGTGTGTGCTGGGCGCTGTCCTAGGTGCCAGGGCACAGCGGTGGCAGAGACACGGCCCTACCCTCTTGGAGGGAGCTTACAGTACAGAGCACTCTCCCCTCTCCTCGCCGCTGGGGAGCGACGGGTGGATATCACACAAATGAAGGCATTGGTAAAGGGGGTTTAGTCTGGGCTGTGAGGAAGCCATGCGAGGTATGGGAGAGAGGAAATGGGGAGGCCGCCTCAGGTTGGAGGAGGTTAGGGAAGGAGCTGAGAGCTGAAGGTTAGGGAACAGGCCACCAGGACTGGAGCCAGGGAATCCACCAAGGCTCTGTGCCTTGGGATGGCCAGTGCAGGGCCTGGCCGGGAAATGTGAAGGGGGCTGTCAGAAAAGTAGGGAAAGGGAGTCCCTATCGGTCCAGAAAAAACTCTCAGTGGGTGAGGTCCTTGAGGAAGGACCAGGGAGAGGTGTGTACCCAAAGGACACGCAGGAAGGGAGAAGCGTGGCCAGCCTCGCAGCCACCTGGCTCTGTCCCCCGGGCAGAGAGAAGGGTGACGGGCAGGAGAGCCCAAGGGTGTGTGGGCGAGGATCCACCACCTACCTCTAGCTGAGAGCTTCTTGGTGTTGATGATTTTGGCCGCATACTCCTGGCCGGCCAGCACCTTCACACACCTGCGCACCACCGAGAAGGCACCCCTGCGAGACAGAGGAGACAAGAGCTTGGTCCCTGGGGAGGCAGGGAGGAGTTCCTGCAGCTGCACCCTGCCAGGGGGACAGGGTGCCATCAAGGCTACTTGAACTCACAGAGGCTGCTGCAACTGGCCCAGGGGAGTCCCTGAAGAACCAGTGGTCCTGGCAGGAGCTGGGCCTCACCCAAGACGAGCCCTCCTAACAGGTTAGGCTCACCAAGTTGTACAGCAGTAGAATCATGGTGCGTGAGAACCACAGAATGCAGGTTCCTGAAAGCTGTCCGTTTTCACTCGGCGTAGGTAGCACATTGACGTGGCTCACCAGTCAACTGATTCGAAGGTGGAACGCTTCCCCCCCACCCCAGTTCCTCAGGTCCCTCCCCAGAGATGGCCCACCCTTAAGACTAGTCCCTTAAGACTCTCCACAGAGCCTCCCCACCCCACCCCGGCACCGGAGCTGCACACCCTCCATTCTCCAGTAAACTGTGTATCTTGGAGACACCCCCCTTCCCGTGCACGGCCCAGAGATCCTCGTTACATAGCGCAAGTGGGAGTATGTCAGAAAGTATTGCCACAGAACCGTAGAAAACTTTCGTAAACAACACGATCACTATGTGAACTTCTTGCTTCTCAATACACGGAGGCCTGGTGTTTGCAGACCTCGACCCCTGCGTGTGGATTACAATGCGCTGAAAAGAAAACAGAAATCCTTACTGCCGGACCAATCAACAACCTCATGATCCATGGAGAAAAGGATCGAAGCTTTCAAGGACCCCAATCAACCCGCACAGAAGCAGCAGCCAACAAGCGAGAGGACGTAGCGCATTGGGCAAATCAGCCACCCCAACAGCCCTCTTTAAAGTGGTCAGGAGGAAAGATGGCACTTGGAGGACTGAAGGGCACCTGACCCATATGCACGTGACAGGTGGACATCAGTTGCGGTGCCGGAGAAGAATACTGGAAATACCACGGACTGCCCAAAGAATAAATGTGTCTGTCTTGGGAAAAGCCCAGCCAGAGTGCTCCTTCGGGGAAAGGATGGTGAGGTTTTATCTCACGTTCTTGGGACTTTATTGTCAGGAGAGGCCAGTCCCTGGAAAAGGACCTCCTGTTTGGTGAAATAGACGGACAGTGAAGAAGAAGCCTTTTGAGGAGGTGGGTTGGCACAGTGACTAGAACCATGGTCTCAAATAGAGCAGCCGTGGTGAGCACGGCACAGGACCGGGCGGCAGCTCATGCCGTTGGACATCAGGTAGCTGCGGCCTGAACTGACGGCAACAAGACTTTCCTGAAGAATCCATGCTCTTTGGTTTATACCAGGTCGAGATGGCCGTTTGGGCATCCCCGGGGATGGAGATGGTGCTTTTCGACATTTCTTGAGTTTGGGGGGGACAAAAGGCAGTCTGAAGGGGCAAGACTAGGGCTGCAGGGGTTGGGTATGGTTTCCTGACGGAATTCTCATCGGACAGCCCTGCTACCCTGGGCGGACGAGCAGGTGCACCGTCATGATGAGAACAAATCCCTCTGAGCACTCTCCTGGCCTGTTCCTCGCCAGAGCACGTGTCCATCTTCTCCATAAGCCTCCATGATCGCTCTGTGACTTTAGAGAAACTCTCTCAAGCCGATGCCTTCAAAACCCCCCCAGAACAATCATCACTGCCTTCGGAGCTGATGTCTCTGCCTTCAATCTAACTGGCCCAACACCTGTCCTAGAAGCCACTGCTTTGATTGGAGGTTTTTACGACGCCCTAATAAGGTAAGCGTATGGCTGAGAGAACTTGTCTGCAGTCGTGCACCGATCGCAGCGCCGGGTTTAAACAGGTGTCATTACCTTTTGCCGGTGTTTTGGAATGGACCTGTTCCCGCAGGAGCTGGACCCCGGTAGCA